TGTTGCAGCAAGGCTGGCATTTGGTGCCTGCTCTAGTCAGATAACCTTGCCTCTCGTGAGCCTCCTTCATCTCTACATCATCCCTGAAATCCTCTTCGACGGTAGGTGTGCTTTTCTCTTTGGCCATATGCTTAAAGTTAGTACAGCCAACATCAGGGCGTTTACGAGTTTGGCTTAGAAGATGAGTGATCAGCACTGGCAGACAAGAGAGGGTGACAGACAGAAACAGGTGTCCAGCGAACACACCCGAGATATGGCCGTAGTTAAGACGAATCAGCTGATGTTAGAAAAAGGTTTGTAAAGTGTTGAAGGCAAAGTAAGAAGAAGAAAAGTCGTTAGAAAAGAAATCGAACCTTCTAGTTAGATGCTGTAATAATAAACTATGATTAAAAAGGTGAAATATAGTACTCAATGCCAATAAGTAAAGTCCTTCCTCTATGCTTAGACTGTTGCTACATAGCTCGCTTCATCATTTATAGTTTAAATAAAGTGTATGTTAAAAAGTGGATAAATATGGACGAAAAAATCAAGCTTACCTAGTCTCTAAGGCAATAAGTTACAAAAAGCCTCATCCAAGAATTAATGATAGCCTCGCAAGCCACTTATACCGAAATTAAGTAACGTTACGTTTACAATGGCAAATACATGTTCGCTTAATCGGCAGTCCTAATATGAACATGATTAGATAGAGGCCTGGCTTGTCTGCAGCATCCCATTTGACCCCTGACACAATGACATGCTTGGGCGCGTAGTGAAGTGGAGTGGAAGCGTCGCCATGATACTCATAACCCAGGATCGAATCCAGATGAGGGGGTATATGAGCTATGGGCAAGGTTAAAGCTGCAGTCCTGTCCAGCATTGATGAGTTGGCCCTTTGGGAGGCAAGGCTAAGTGGAATTCAATGGTATCTTGAGTCCTACTCATCGCATCATGAGAGAACTCAACTGTCGATCATTTGCTCACCTCAGGTGACCTAGGCTGACTAAATTTTTATTTAAAAAGTCTAACTATTCCGGAAAAAGTAAAGAGACTACAAGCATAAATATAATCATAAAAAA